CCTTCATGCTTTTATTTTATCACTTATTTTGACACTAGTTACGTCTTAGTGTTTTATCTCTTATTTTGAAAGTATGAATCAATTATCTACCCCTTATATTATGTAAATTACGTATTTTACTGTATGTCAATGACATTTAATATCTGAGCACCTGAAATATACACTGTTATAGCTTTGTATATGGTATGCATAAAACTTTAAACGATCCCACATTCACAACAAATCAGCAAACCGAATTCCTGTGATTCTGTAACATGAGATTTGGTTACATAGCTTACATAACTGTAACCAAGAAGGAGCAATCACTTTCTGAGAAAACTTAAAGACAATTGAAGAACAGCAGCGCATGCACACACGCAAACTATGTAATCTATGGCATTATCGAGTTTTAAACTGCAACACCCACTTACAATCGAATAACACGCTTGAACGCCATACCTATGAAAGATATATGGAACATCGGTTCTAGCAAGTTCCTCGAACCACGTCTCCTTATGAATCAATGTCCGCGCCACATTACTCTTCCATCCTACGCAATTTCAGGATACCACATTGAACAAACCCAAGGGGAGAGAAACAAATGTTTATTACTCAATCGTAGAAGTCTCCACTTATTAGGAGGTTCATCGTAACCGGATATTGACAGACGTTTGTCGCTGAATAACCTGAGAGCTCAAAGCTCCAAAGTGCTAGATAATTCATAATTATTACCTCACAATAAAAAACTAGAAACGTGAAGAGAAAACTTTATCACTGCGTCTGCGTAAGACGTGGCCTAACGCAGGCAACAGCGTAGGCGGATATTACACAGCAAGGAACTTCGTCTAAATGCAGATCTACTACTATTTTAAACCTTTAATGCTTCTATGCGCCAACCGCTTTAATAATAAGTAAAACTGTGTTTTGTAGCAGCGGGTTTCGAAAGATTCTGTCAGTGTTTACAGTTATTAGTTCCTCAAACACCATTAACCATTTGACCTTTGTAACGAAGAAGTGTGGCGTTCATTTTTTGGACATGAGCTGAATTTCTAAACATTACTTAGACGAGCTTCAGCTTTAAGACAAGGACACTAAATATAGGAAAATATACATTTACCTGTGGTTTATTCTGAGACGATGGCAACACCTCAGAATATATAGCGTCAAATAATAGGAAAATTAACGTGTAAGCACTCTGATGATGGAGACAGTCTCCGAAACTCAACATTGACCGATGGCCGACCTCCAGGTCGGGATTTCAACCCAGTCCCTCCCTCAACACACACACACGAGACAAGTTTTGAAATACAGGATACGACAGGTTAGCAATGCAACTAGAATGAGGAAAAAAAAAAGAGAATGCAAGCAGAATTTTGGTGAGAACATTTCTTGAAAAACAGAGACTTATAATTAGATTATATTCGTATAACATGGAAGATAAAAGAGAGGTGGATTTTTGTGAACAACAGACTATAAATTATAAAGTTTATTTTTATGTAACTTCGTCCATCTTCCTCAAAACTTTTTTTAAGCATAAATATAGCATGAGGGGTCCGCAGTGGCCGCGCGGTCTGAGGCGTGGGCCTTCTGCCGCTTGGTCCGTGGGTTCGGATCCCATTCAAGCCATGTATGTCTGTCCGCGTTTTTCTGTGCTGTGCTGTCCTGTGTACAGGTAGAGGCCTTGCGACGGGCTGATCCCTCGTCCAAGGAGTCCTACCAAATGTCTATAGATCAAGCCCAACATTGACTTGGGTACCGGGAAAATGTTTAAACATTGTTAAAACCGGAAATATATATATATATAAATAAATATAAATAGAACATGTACATAAATGAACGGACTTTTTGAAAGGCGTGTAATTGTTTAGTTACAACACATATGAAAAACTTGTGTGCATTCAAGTTTTTTCACGTGGTCATGGAAGTTCACAAAATTTTTCGTATGTGTTATAAATAAATAATTACATGCCCTTCAAATCGTCTGCTAGTTTAAGGACACCCAGTATTTGATTCCATGTACATTCATTGTCATTGCCCTATAGTCGTTCAGTAAAGGCTTAGAGTCACAATGTACACCTGTGTATTAAATGTTCGTACACAGAGTTATTAAAATGTCGGTGCCAAGTAAACACGAAAAAAGAGAAGATAAATCTTGTAACACCATCTGTCACGCGCATTACATTCCATTACGCAAAGTTCAGTGGGGGAGATAAGTACGTGAAAGGAGCAAAGGTTCGAATCAGTTCCATACACGACGTGCTCTTGGATGTATTGTTAAGATAGGCACTGGCATGTAGCTAGATACTTGCTTGAACTCACAGATATATCACCTCATTTTCACCTCGTGATCCGGGAAACCCATTTCCCAGGCGACATAGATTTTTCATTTCCTTCGTATCTCTGTGTGAACGTGACGTCATGGGTTGCTACAGCTTCCCTTCCTTCCATACGACCATGAAGAAGGGTTTTCTAAATCGGTAATTTTCTTCAAACTTTTGCTGCCAACGTAGCAGCGCCAGGATTTTAAGAACGGTGAAGGGGCTCGAGAAAACGCTGTTATTATATTTAGGATAGATGTATATTCACTTCACATAATCCACTTTTATGCTCCTGTAAAATAGAACCGATACACATGAAATACTTTGCAGGTCAGGAGTAAAGTTTCTTGTAGGGACGTCCGAGTAGAGGATGAAACAACTATGAAGCTCCACTGAATGCAACAGAACTGTCTGGAGCTCTCTATATACACACACTCGGAAAATAATTCTTTTGTTTTATACTACTATCTAATTATTAAAATTACGAAATTAAAATGTTGCCCAAGGTAGAACTTGCACAAGTTCCGCTACGGAGAAGAAAGGCAGGCAGAGAGAGAGAGAGAGAGAGAGAGAGAGAGAGAGAGAGAATTGAAATTACATCAAAGATCGCTCAGATTCTTTTGCAAACTTTCGTTAACATCTCTAGAATTGTAATTTTCTGCCAAGATAAAACAAGTTACTGTCTACGAATTATTTATTTAGGAATAATAGTTTTTAATTCCAGGAACGCTGCTTCTTTAGAAAACAGAACTATTATATGAGACGAACAAAAGACTCCACTTTTGATTCATTAAATTTTGATGGACGTAAACCAGCTGACGCCTCTATATAATTAACTGTGTGCCTCATCTTCTGGGTCAATACGTATCCAAACAAATATATTTGTCTAGACAAAACCACACAAAATGTTGATATATATGTAACAAATTGAACAGCAAAACTAAGAAATACTAACAGATTTCGTCTAACAGATTTATGGCGAGGTTCAAATGGGGTTTAAACATAATACAGCATGCACTCAACAATTCAAATAGTCTACACTATTTTATGGCCTCAAGATAACGTACAAAAGACTAAATATCTAGCCACGTGATAATGTTGAATAATAAAATGTGTAAATGGCAAAATGGACACAGACAATCTGTTCGATGTGGTGAATTAATAATGAAAATTAAATACATCCTTGTGCGGCCTGTGCCATTAAACCCACATGACCCCGCAGGCCTTGTAAACACAACCACCTCCATTCTTGTGCCGGAATTCATGAATGACTTTATCAATCATCAGTGATTAGAAACAATGTGCTATTTAGCATATAAAGATATGCAGGCCTTCAATACGTCACTGTCAGATACGAAACAACTGTAATTCAAGTTAATTAAATCATCACATACAAAATATTCTACACGTATTTTCAATTTTTATTGTGCTCTAATGTTTCAGCATGACGCCAAGGCCAACACAATACACATTAGTCAAGCTGCTAGGTTTTTAGTTGCGTCTGCCCTAAATAACTTTCTCTCGGTATTACTGTAATGGTTTGAAAACTCCTTGACCATCTGCTGCAACTCGTATTTTAAAAGTGCAAGTCCGTTCCTGCAGAGATTAAAAATAATTTTTCGAAATAGATTGCCAGTGACTACTTAATGTAAAATAAAAATCTGTACGTGTGGATGTGAAAAGAATTTCGGACTTCATGCATTTTTTTGCATGAAGTGTATACGAGGTGCGATCGGAAAGTTTCAAGACTGTGTCAATAGAGGGCGAACCGGATGTAGTACGAGCTTCTGCCGCTAGGGGGTGCGGCCTACATTCATAGTGAATCAGTGTGCCAGCCGGCATCATCGAATTAGCATTTGTTTCTTAGTTACGGGCGTTTTGGTAGGGCATTACACCGCCCCTCCTGCGATTTCGGAATGGCGTGTGCATCAAATGTTGCCAAAGACTCGCCAAAACGGCTACAGAAACCTATGAAATGCTAAAGCAAGCATTTGGGGAGTCCGCAAACTTTGGTGTGGCATTCACGTTTTAAAAATGGCCGAACCGCTGTCGATGATGACAAGCGTTCTGGACGACCATCTTCGAGCACAACGCCCGAAAATGTTACGAAGATCGACGTCGTACCATCAACGACTTGTGCGACATAGCTCTGTGTGACTTCTTCCTCTTCCCAAAGATGAAAATTCAGCTAAAGGGATGGAGATTTGAGACGATAGAAGAGATTCAGGCAGAATCGCAGATGGTGCTTGACAGGCTGACAAAGAAAGATTTCCAGGGATGCTTCCAGGCTTGGCAGCGGCGCTGGGATCGTTGTGTTCACTCCCAGGGGAACTACTTCGAGGGTGATGGATGAATTTAATACCTGAGATAAGTGCACGGGTTTTTATAGGCGCAGTCTAGAAACTTTCCGATCGCACCTCGTAAATGCACAACGGACAGCCGGTGTCCACACTTCTGCCTGTCACCTGTTTCGTCTAAGAAACTACTGATCGGATTTCAACTATCTCACGACGATTAACACGATTACAGTTTATTATACTTGGTGAACCAAAGCAGGTACAACAGTTAAGTAACTTGAGCCGTGCATAACCAGTTCAACTTCACACCCACAGTCAACGTGCGCGGTACGAGTCTTGGTCTACGAATGAACACTGCTCTGATACCACACACATTTGTTCAAGAGATGGCTGGCGGGCCTCTTACCTTAGCAAATGTATCCCTTGGCTACACAGTTGTTCTCGAGTCTGGACTGACTGCTTGGAAGGTGTTTTCTCCCCGAACTTTGTTTGAAACCTGTGCAAGAACTGCAGTCACGGACTTTGAACCCACAAACACATTCAGTTTTTAGTTGTAGCGAAGCCATTGTATAGTCAGGGCTATGGCAGCGCTGTAACGGCCAAGCAGTGAACCACTATACGTGGAGGCAAACTTGAAGGGTTTTTGTGCATTCCTACAGTTATTTATTTCATTGCTCTAATTGTTTTTGTTCATTAATCATTTTTATTCGAAGCTTGTTTAAATGTTATTTGAAAATTCAGTTCCTACCTCGAAAAAAAAAATACGTGTCACTATTACAGAGATCAAATGGCTAATTCTGTCTTAGGAAATACTCGATTTTACGCTGAGAATCACATGAAACCCAAAATATACTCGTGTGAAAAATGCAGAGTTATTGATTATTAAAGCAGGATTACCATTACCATTAGGCCTTAAAAGGATAAATATAGTAATCATGATTGCTATATTTATCCTTAGACTCTAAATCAATCGGAAACAACTTGTGTGATAGGTTGATTGGGGTCTATTAACAGTAAACGTCACGAAACAAATTTAAATTTAGTCTGTCTACATCAAATAGGCTATAACCCTTACCTTGTATTAGGAAAGTACAAATATCGAACTCACCGGGTTTCTTAAAACAAGCTCACTGTACAAAATAATTTTAACAAGATATAAAATACGGATTGAATTAAAATATAAAAATTCATACGAACACCGATCATGAGTATTTAACAGAATACAAGGAATGCACTTTGCTGTTAGTAACAAACGAACATACGTATGCACGCAAAAGAATATGCTGGCGAGAAGTGAGAAGATGTCGGCCTATCTTCTCAAATGGAGGGCGCATTAGGGTCAATATGCAAAAGGTAAAGTTGGGCTGAGAACAATGGAAGTTTAATTTCTTTTTTAAAAGATAGTAATGAACAAACACTGTAATGAAACTACAGTGCATGGGCACTGTCTAGCGCAGACTTTGCACGTGCAATACCTAAACGGCCTATTTTGAGTCATTTTATATAGAAATGTATGTGTATACAACAAACCCGAATTTCTTTTACACACAATTATAAACTTTTTAAGTTAGTTCTATTGTAATCTCTCATACATGTACTTCACCTCAACTAAAGGTTGGAACATTTGACCTATTAAATATGTGATTATTAACTTCTTCAAACAGAACGACCATAAAAGGAAAAAGGCTGACGCAAGCGGCGAAACACAGCAGTGAAAGTATTAAACCACGAACCAGTGTTCTGCGACATCACAATGGTGAGCGTTATTTGAGGAACATATCGTTCGTGTCTGATGTCCAAAACAAAAAAATTCGTCAGAATGTGCCAAAGAAATCGATAAAACTAGCCCTCTCATTTATGATTAAATTCTTGAAGATTACATTTTTGTTCGCTGCGCTGGAAAATGATACAATTAGCTTACCAACTACAAGGATACTGAGAGATATGCAGATTAAGAGTTTAACTCATTAAACTGTGCAGGCCTATAACGCGATACATTTAATTTTGTATAGTCGAATATATCGCCATCCGACATTTATGAGTTAGAACAGACGACGGAAAAGCCAAAACACACATTTATACGAAATATTGCGTTCTGGTAGACAATGACAAAATACCCTGAACATAATAAAATTATAATTATTCGGAGCACAATCACTTCGCTTGATAAATATCAGATTTAAATTTCCGAAATATCTCTCCTGGGCGTCAGTTTTATGTGATCGGTCATTAACTCTACTGAGTACAGTCCTCCTTGAGAAGCTAACAGCAGTTCAGCTGAGCAAGAAATTTCAGATCCGAGGACCAATTACTTTGTTCACAAGAGCTTGCCACCTGTCCCTATTCTAACACATAAATCTAGTCAATACTACCCCACCCTACTTCTTTAACATCCAAATAGTATTCTCCCATCTATACCTAGGTCTCCTACATGATTCCTTTCCTTCTCGTCTTCTGATCAAAATTCTGTATGCATTTCTTACCTCTTTTATGTATGCTACATGAGTCGCCGACCTCATTCTCCCTTTGATTTGAACATCCTGATGAAATTTGGCAAAGAACACAAATTATAAATTTCCATATCACTCAATTTTATCCAGTCCCCTGCTGCACCCTCCCTCTTAGGTTCAAATACTGTCTTCGCTGTTGTCGGCCATTAAGACAAAAATTCTTGTATTTCACCGATATTAATTGTTACGAATTGCTGACATACCAGTTCCAGTTATCTTACTGTTTATGCAGGACTACGTAATAAATTAATCTACATCTTGAAATGTAGCAGTTTCAGATAATTTTACGAGAAATTCGAGAAATTCAGTCAAAGGCAAGGTTCAAGACAAGTTAATACATTTGCAAAATATTATTTATACTAAAAAAGTTGTTCTGAATTTTACGCAAAACACGAGCACAACAGCAGATTCTTACTTTTCATTTCCGTGAATTCGATTCAGTGAACAGTGAATTTGGTATGAAACCAGCGACGAAAGTTCAATTTACAGTAACTTTACTTCTTTCGACAAATTCGCGATAATATGAACCTGTTCGTGGAGAATATAGTTATGCACAGAAAACCTATAATTAAATGCGTTATGTTTCGTCTATCTCCCGGAAATACAGATTAGCTTTATCCAATAAACCCAACAGAGTGGGATTAATACTTTCAACCGATGCAGAAGCAAAGCCAGCTTCTGAAACGCTGTGCCTTTTCACCAAGAGACAAAGGAAAATTTCCCAAGAATATGGAACCTTCTAACAGGGCTACGGGCTTACTTCCTAATTTAAGGGCCGATTAGAGGCAATCATATGTAATAGCAAATCAGAACGTTAGAAATAAAATAACCTTAAAATATAAACAAAAAGAACAATATGACTTTCAAAAACACTTTTTCTCATTACGTGTGAACACATTTCTGTTCAGAATACTTTGCTGTTGTAAAGTATTCATTACCGACAAAGAGAAAGAAAGATTTTTTAATAGGTTGTGTGGGTAGCAAAATACAAACTATTACATCGTCCACACAACTAGAACTATATATTACAGGTATATTCTAAGAATATATCAAATGTCAAACGTTTTAAATTCAAAAGTACACTGTTCTGACTAACCGACATGGATCCATAATTATAATCTGTAATTATAAGTTAATCGCTGAAGTGCTAAAATATGGTAAAAACTACGTTAACAATAAATAAGATCAAAGAAGCAATATAAAGGAAAAGTAAATATATAATGTAGAGGAAAGGATAAAATTATACAGAAGGGATATATAAATTTACATGTAAATTGTCTATTTGCGAGATGCCCAGGCTAGTGGGCTATGCATGCAGTAGACATCAGCGAACAGCGCTTCCGTAGCGAATGTTGAGGAAATAGTCAGTCGAAATGTGAACGTTTTTACTTCTCACCGATATCTCTGCTGGGTCGGTCGGTATGTGCAGTTGGTATCCTGACAGTGTAAAGCCTAATCTCTCATGGGAAATGAGACAATTCAGGAGATATGCAGAACGCACGAAGCACATAAGAGAATACAGACTAAAGGGGAGACACAGATAGGAAGAAAAGCAAAGGGGATAACGGCTGAAACACGGACGCACTGGATATATTTTCTTTTACAGTAGTTCTCCCAGTTGGAGTCGGAAGATAGAACCTTTGAATTTTAACGTGAGAAAGATACAAGATCTTTACATGCAAGGTACCAAGTCAGGCACTCCTTGGTGCTGATAAGAAGGCGTTGGAGTTTCTCATTCACTCTTATAGAGAGGGATAAGAGTAAATTTACAAATTACAAGATACCTGGAACTCATAAGCACAAAAACAAGCAGAGCTGTGTATAAATTTAGGTTACCTCTTGACAATTTTCATGTCTCATATGAGATTAGAAGCAATTAGCGTAGTGTGTAAAAGGTATCAAAATGAAACTCAAGATCCACTTCGTAAAGCTGAGAGTCAGATGTTCACAAACACTGGGAACTTTATGAACAGCGCGGGAAATGGCCTTAATACTAATTTAAATTTTTTTGAAGTTTAATCCAATTTTGTTTAGTACTTGAACAAACACTGTAGTATGAAGCCTTTCCGAATCCAGCAACGTTGCATCTACAGAGGGCGTAACATTTCCCTTCCTTGCGACTTCTCAAATGATCCACAGTTCTTAAGTGAGTGCATTTTTATGTAAGTTGTGACTAACTTCTTATCAAAACTGCAAAACACCAAGTCTACATTTATATAATTTTTAACAAGGAATAATTAATAGACTTAGGCCAATTCGATTAATGCTTTACTTCCACTCAGATCCGAATACCCTTCACCTTCCCGATTTCCATCTAAAATACGAAAATACAAAATTTACCTGTTGTTTCATCAGTAATGTCTGTGACCCTAATGGAATAAAGTCATTGAACGGTTTTAATAATTAAGTTCTATCTGTTTTTGGAACGAGAAGTGATAAAGAAACAAGTGGATTGAGAAAATTACACACTAAAGTGCTTCATAATTCCCAGCATTAAAGTCTTTATCTTTGGTCAACCTTATATTATTTGAAGAAAAATACAAGTTATGGTGCTCTTCATTATGTAATATTTTCCAGCCTCTTGCCACCTCATCCGTCTTAGATCCAAATATTATCCTCAACACTCTATACTCAAAACACTATAAATTTTCAATATGCGTTCTACCTTAAATACGAGAGAGAGCTCCACATCCATACAAAGCAGTAGGTAAAATTATAGTTTTGTATATTGTAAACTTTACGTTGCACAAAATTCTGAACTGCATGGTAGCAAGAATTCCTCCAAATTTAATCTGCTCTTAATTTCTCCGTAATCCCAATGTTGATTTATACGTCGTTCCAAAATATTTTAATTATACCACATTTTCAAAGAATCTGAGTTGCTGGTTTTAACTACCATTCATTATATTATGACTGCCCCGCAGTCTGGTGACGGGACATGGAAATACACTTAGTTTTCTCCACCTTTATTTCTAGACCAACTTCC